GTTAGTGATACTGAACTCATATCAGATCAAGAATTGCTGGAATTTTACTTGATTGGACTATTTTCTCATTTTTCGTGAAATAAAAATTATTTAAGCCAAATGTAATGGAAAACATCTGCTTAACTGGTATCTCCGTCTCTTTTCTCTATGGACTTTTCAATAGGGCATGAAATAATATCGGGCGTCACTTGGTGTAAGTCTCATAGAATATKACAACAGCGACAATGTTTATCCTTATCTTTCGATCTGATCAACTTTCTTTGAATTATTTTCCTCCAATATCGATATCTTCATCTTACACTAAAATACAGACCGCTACCAAAAAAATACAGGTGTTTCAAGACCTAAAATCGAATTTAAGAGGATACATGTATTTTTGATCCGAGTTTCCTCAGCACTGACCGACAAGCCTGCCTAACATCATTCATTCGATAGATATGCATTAAAGGGTTTACTACCGATCCAAGAGTCCAGATACAATTAGAAAAAACGAGGAAACGTGTGTTGTAAAGACTGTCCCCATCGACTAGCATGTTCACGAACGCACAGGCAATTGGTAAACCCAACATCACAAAGATTGCTTCTATGATGACCAATGTCCATATACTTTTTCTGTACTTGTTCCATTGCAATCTTGAAGTAGAGGAGTTGGATCTGGCTTCTGTGTGGTTTCCAGATGACCCGGATTGCTTCTCCTCGATAGACTTTAAGGCAATTGGTGGCGGTTTTATAGAATGCTTGGTAAGGAGTCTAAATGCATTAATATAGCAAAAGGATATAACACCAAAAAACACCATCCCAAATGAAAGCATAACAATAGGCTTTTCAACAAGGTTTTTCARGATGAAATGATACAGCGTTGATRTAAAGAATGCAGACAGCCAAACTAGTACAATCACAATACGCACTCTCTTCATTGTAACTACACTTTTGTATCTCATACCCAAGTACACAGCCAAATACCTATCGATGCTCAGAAACRTAGAACTTAGAATCGTGGCACATGTGGCGAACAYTACGAGAAATGTAGACAGTTCCCAGAAAAAGCATGCTTCATGTAGCATGTCCGTCATCCCAAACACTAGAAAAGCGACAAAGGTGGTTAAATACAAAGACATCAGAAGATCACTKAATGCCTGRCAGGCTATGAGTGCATAGGACGGTGTCTTAAGACAGGGTGTAATCAATATGGCGCTAATCAGAAGAATGTTGCTCAGGATTGCGATTAGAGACACTCCAATGGCAGAAACGCAGAGAGCAGTGTAAGRGGTRAAACTGTTTTGAAAATCTCTTGTTCCAAAGAAAGGATAGTCGTTCAAGACACAAGTCCATATATTACYGTCGCTCTTGTTGGTGGAATCCATCGTGACTTTATTCAATTCCCCCAAGGAAAGTTTACTTACAGTTTGATTTTGATCTTATTTATTATAGCACTTTTTATCAGTTAGATGCTGCTTTATATGTAATTAAAAAAAACATTAATTTAATAAACCGACAGTGATTCACCAACAAATGATTGATGAGATGAAAATTTCAATTATACAAATAAATGCAGTTGTAACAGTGTTAGTGTCACTAAAGGAAATGACAACACAAATTACATACAAACTACTCTTTCTTAAACGAAAGCGAGTGTTAATATGACTTTGTAAAGAAAAGTTCTCCTCATTTTATCTTTTATTTCTTTTTAATAATTACAGGGCTTTTGGTATAGAATTTACAGGGCTTTCACGGAGTTTACAGGRTTTRGAAATAAAAATTACAGGGATTTTCRAAATAATTACAAGGTTTTTAGAATTGTTTTTTTACACAGAATTTAGAATATTAGGTTTTTAGAATGTGTGTTTTTTTTTTACACAGAATTTACAGGATTTAGCAACAGTAGATTTACAAGATTATTGCAATGTTTGCTCGAATATATAATGCAAAATTTACAAGACATTTACAGAATGTGCATTATATATAATTGACAAAGTTTGTAAAATAGCACAATTATCCTGAAAATTGGATTTTTAAAAAGGAAATCTGCAGAATATTTAYACATTACACATGAACTCTATCTTTCCAATCCACTGTTCGTACACAAAAGCACATGTAGTGTACCTGACTAAGTTGCCGTTTGGAATCCATAATTAGAATAACCCTGAAATGCTCTTAAAGTAACTTCCAAGYTTTAATGAGTTATATTTATCCATTTATTTGTCATGAGGAGTTTAAATCAATAATGAAATTCAGCTTGTACTCATCCAACATTATAATGTAAATAATGAAAATCTTTGTTACATCAGTGAAAATTTGACTTATTCACTCAAAAATGAATCAAACATACATATGAGAAATTGCATCACAAAATGGGYTRAAAGATCAAGAGGAAMTCCAGCYTTGCACAATACATAACCTCTACCCATCTTGCGTGCAACAAGTTGTATTAATTCCTTAGCGCTTTTTAATGCTGCCAAAGCTTGGCGTGTTCAAGAAGGTTTCACCATCAAAACGAAGAGCAAAAGGCGTCATGTGATATAATAACCTGCTTGCTGCCTCCATTCTTCCTTATAGGTGACATTGATCTCCATCTATATAATAAGCCGGGTCCCTGCACGTGATCTTGTCTTTCTTTCCTGTTCGGTACTGCGTACGTGGTCTTCTTCAACAGCCTTTTTGTTTCAAGAATGGRAAGACCTAATAACGTCATCAAACACATCAATTCATCCTAAATCTTAATCTCACCAGAACTGCCAAACACGCCTGCCTAACATCCTGCATGCGRTAGATATGTATTCCTGGGTTCAGTGCTGACCCTAGGGCCCAGATACCATAACAATATCCAAYAACCACAATGCTATCAGAGTCGTCTCCATTGATAAACATATTCACCCAAGCGCAAAAAACAGGAAATGATATAATCGCGAAAACTGCTTCTACAATGATCAATGTCCATATGCTCTTCCTGTATTTTTTCCATTCCAATCGAGAACAAGTGGGATTTGATGTTGTGTCGGCGTGAAGGCTTCCTGGAGATCTTTGGTTCATTTCTTGTGCGGTAGACTCCACAGAATTGTTTGATGATKTGGAATGYTTTCTTAGSAGTCTAAATGCTTCAAGATAGCAGAAAGACATCACGCTAAAACATGGAGTTCCAATGACAAGCAAAGCAATAGCTGTTAGWAMAAAGCTTTGTAGGAAAAAGTAATAAATGGTGGATACTGCAGGTGCGGATAGCCATATCAATAAAACAGCAATGCGCACTCTTTTAAGCGAGACAATAGTTTGATATCTCATGCCCAGGTACACAGCAAGATATCGATCGATGCTGAGCAAGGTAGAACTTAAGAGGGAGRCCCATGCTCCTATCCTGCCAATGAATAAGCAAATATGCCAAAGGTAACACGCTGTACTTAGCAAGTTTTTAACCGCAAGTGCTAAAAAACAAGCTAAAATCATTGAAAAGAGAGCCATTAGAAGATCRCTGTACGCCTGGCTTGCTATGAGAGAGTAGGAAGGTGTCTTCAATCTCGGAGATGTAAAAATGGCGGCGATTAGAAGAATATTACTTAGTGTTGCAAACAAAGAAACYCCAATGTTCCAAACRCAGAAAACGACGAAAAGTTCAACGGGATRGTGTTGGAAATCTGAGGGTTTTGGCCAAGGTTTGTCGTCGTAAATACAGWCCCATTCATAATAMGACTTGCTGGAGTTGTTGAAATCCATCCAGCTCAATCTCTAAGACAGTGTATTCATACAAGCTTCAAACGTTTAAAAGTTACGCTTTACAATGAAGTAACAAATTCCTTGATAATGACACATTTTTAATTAAATAAAACTGATCAGTCAACAATGATGTACTGAAAACTTTGATAAATTAGAATTGTTACTTGAACTACAAAGTAACAGTTAAAAGACTGGGCTGCTTCCAATGAATCAGTGCCATGAATGCAACGGACTGCTGGCCAAAAGTTTCCTTTTTTATCAGTTCTAATAAATCTGGGGATGCTCTCTTTTCCGATACTGAGTTCAGCAGATGTGATATCAAGATACGTTGTTTTCCTGGTGACATGATTTCGTGTCAATCTTTAAGGATTATTCAAGTGTTTATAATTAAAAAAAAAAACTGACAACAATATGTTCTTATCTATTTGCTTTGTAAGAGTATGACGTTCGCCACGAGTGTTGCGTGTATTATTCTGCATTTAAATACGTCATCATCATCATCATTGGTTGACTCCAGAGCAGACGGTTGCAAGATGTAAAAATAAAAKAAAATAAAAAGTACGTAAATAAAAGAAATACGTACTGTTTTCCTAAAGTGCTTTATTTTTAAAAATAGACATTGTCAAATGACCAAAAATATTACCGCTTATTATCCATTTATGCTATACGAATGGAGATCTTGAATGATACGAAATTAAAATCGAGGGACGGAAACGAATTGTGAATGGAYATTTGAAGACACATGAATTCACTCCATATATGAAAAATGTTAAACACAACTGCATTGAATACTGGTTTTGAATTAACAACCATTCATATTTCGTCCACAATTTATCAGATAACTTATAATGAATTAAAACCAGTTATTCTCTGCTGCTACAGGTGAAACCAGTATCTAAAAACACAGCACCGTGCAATTTTTATTTTATAATGTTTGCTCACGCCATCAAATAGTCGTAATCATGTTTAATGTTTAATCAGTCACTGATCTTTATGAATCGAAATTGGATTAAAAAAAGGATGCAAGTAATAAGTAAATATGTACTTAATCAATAACTAAAGATCGACATGTTTTTTTTTTCATATTTGACATTTGCTATCAATTTGTTTTGCACCGTTTATCTTCAAATGTGAAAATTCCACATGAAGAATCCGTTATGCGCCGTCATGTGACAACAAAATCGAAAGACATACAATACTCCCCAATCATTTTTATCTTTGTTTCTTTTTGTTTGTTTTTCGGTTTATCTTAGATCTTTTTTTCATTAAATCGATCTCCGTTTTTTTTCTTTTTTCTTCATTTTAGGATGGATTTAGCCTTATCCTCTTTTGTTTCGAAAGTGTTAAATAGTCAATTTTTATTCCTCGCAGAAACCTCATTGTGTAGCTATAGCTGTGCTAAGTTTTTTCTCTTGTTTCCCTTCCTCTTCAAACTAAAAACACTTCTCATCTTGATGAGTAGTGCATAAAACGCCGGCTTCCGCACATCTTCCAACGAAACGGAAAACTTGATGTCTTTCACTGATGAACAAGATATGATCTCTTTTAGGTCGACAATTTTTTTCAGGTCATTTTGATAACAGTCGAGGTTTTGTTTTCAAGTAATACCTCCACTATAATATTCCTCTGTTAGCCGAGTCGCTGTATGTGACTCTATATTTTGCTTTTCTTTCCCGCTCAGTCCATACGTAAGTGTCTCTTCCTTCATTAAGCCTCTTTATTCAAGAAATCAAGCAGTCTATCAATGTAATCAGTCACATATATGCATCCTAARTCTTAATCCCATCAGAACTGCCCARCACGCCTGCCGCACATCTTCCATTCGATARATATGTATCCCTGGATTTAAAACTGAMCCAARGGCCCAGATACAACAWGCACAAACAAGAAATAATCTACTGCTAGAACTGTCTCCATTAATAAATATATTAATCCAAGCAAATATAATAGGCAATGATACCAAGGCAAAAACTATTTCTACAATGACAAGTGTCCRTATGCTCTTCCTGTATTTATTCCAGTGGAATTGTGAATTAGTGGAGTTTGGTTTGGTTGCACCTGTGTCATGGTTTCCCGAAGGTCCCTGGGMCACWTCTTGCGCGGTAGTCCCCAGTGAATTTACAGCTGTTTTCGAATGCTTTCTTAGGAGTATAAACACTTTGATATAACAAAAAGATATCGTGTAGAARCATAAAGTTCCTACGACGAATTGAAAGATAGCGTTTGCAATAAAGCCTYGTAAGGCAAAGTAACAAACCATTGCTACAAGAGGACCAGATAACCAGAGAACAAAAATAACAATATGCACTCTTTTAAGCGTGACTATAGTCCTGTATCTCATTCTCAGGTACACKGCCAAGTATCTATCGATGCTGAGCAGGGAAGAACTGAAAAGGGAAACCCATGAACCTATCCTGGCAAGAAAGAGTGAGATATGCCAAACGTAGCAGGCTGTATTCTGGATGTTGGTTATYCCGAGTGAAAAAAAGATGGCCATAGCGAGTAAATTTAGCGCCATCAAAATATCACTGCATGCTTGGCTGGCTATGAGACYATAGGATGGTGTTTTTAGACTTGAGGTTGTCAAAATGGCGACGATAAGAAGAAAGTTGCTTGGCAATGCAATCAAAAAACCCGCAACGCAAAAACCACAGAG